GTAAACACGTTCACCTGTGAAGGTTCCTCTGTGTCTGGCCCCGCCCTGGAAACAGGTGTTAGTCTGGCACTGCCCTGCTCTGTTGTCACCATAGAGGCCAAACTGGACTCTACCAAGTTACTCTCAGTTGAGGGGGGGGTTGTGAAATGACTTGTTCTCATTGGATGTGAGACCTACATGGGAAGCAGCGTCCCATCTAGCTCCAGTTTACTTCTGTACTTTGAACCACTGCAACTGTAAAATATTACAGATGTAAAACGTATTTACAGAGTTTGTCACCGTTTTAGGCTGCTGATTAACCTCCTACAAACTGAGTGTGTGCCAGTCTACCCTGTGTCTGTGGTGAAGTAGAGTGGTCCATTCACTGACCAGTCACAGAGGAGAAGAGGTGGAGTCTGGGCTCACTGAGCTGCCACAAGGGAAAAATGATACACACACCTTATAGAAATTCATCCAGCTGATACTCCTTGACAGGTTTAACCACACAGAGACTTTGCCTGTCATTTACAATGGAGTGTTTAGAGAGACATACGCCCTCTCGACTTTGGAACCGACACAGAGCTGGATGTGCCCCGTCACATCTGTGTGGACACACATTTAGGTGTTGATTCAAAGATTGAACAGGTAGGAGCCATGGCGTTGCACCTGCTGCCTTTGCGGTTTACTGGTCGGTTGTAGTGCCAGAGCTGAGGATGGCACTCTTCGTGTGTGCCACTGAGGACGAGCTGGAATTCACCAACCAGCCTGATGAGGACAAGGAATATGTTAGTTTGCCCAGTCATGATGGCACAGAGCAGGAGGAAGAGGATGACGAAGAGGAGGAGGAATATGTCTGTTTTCCCAGTGATGAAAAGTACAAACAGGAAGAGGAGGAAGAAGAAATGGATGAAATGCAACAAGTTTTGTCTGAAGGTAGTTGTGGTCGTCTTTCTCATTTAAGACAGTGGCTCTTCTGCCGGGTTCCCCGCTGGGATGTGCTTTGGCTTGCACTGTGTCATTTGTTGTTGTGTGATTCTTAAGTCTTAAATCCTTATTGGAAGAGATGATTCTGGCTCTGGAGGGAATCAGTGGATACCTGTGTAACCTATTTGAAAGGTATCATGTCTCCTGTGGCTTCACCCTGCAGGTTCACTCCCTCGTGTCGCTGGTTGTGTTCGTATCTTTGGTCTAGGCACAGCATGGTTCACCTGCCTGCTGGGCTGACATGTTCAAATATGGGCTTGGCACTTTATTCCGACAGTCACATCACTGTTGTTCATTAAGTCCCAGCACGCTATAGTTTTTAACTGGGCTTTAAAATGCCCAAATAATCTTGCTTTACATTCAGGCTTTAGCTTGGGTTTAGTCTTTTTGAGTTTACCTTTTATATGCACTTATACTAATAATGCTGTATTAAAACAAGGTTGAAGGTCTGGTTGATCAGATTAACTGAATTTTAGCTGCCAAAGTAAAGTTGTTATAGGTTTTACAAAATATGTATCAACAGAGGTGAGATTTATGTATTTTTTTGTTATGAAAAAAAAAACAAAAAACAGTTGTTATTGGTCTTTTGGGTGATGGTGGATGAATTATGGCTGAATAATATTGAGGGAAAAACTGAAATCTTAGTTTTTCTGCAATATAAATTAAAAATGTACAGGATTTTTTCGTAAACAGGTGTCTTGAATAACTCTATTTGGAAATTGAAAGAAAGTAATTGGGGTGATTTTGTAGGGAAGTGCAGCTGCATTGAAATTTAAAAAAAAAAAAATAAAGCAGAAAAAAGCCATATTGAAGGTATCCACAACAGTTTGTTTTGGATGACATTCAGATCAGCCTTTGCATTGCCGATGTAAATAGTCTCATGCCTCGTGTAGTGACAACAATTGCAAGACACTGTGTTGTGCGCACATTGCAGTGTTGATGTTAACACAATACATTGTGTAGCCGTGGTTTAAAGCGGAGAACAGGACTCGGATGGATATGTTTCACAGTGGCAATAAACATAGATATAAACCCAGGTTCAATAAGGAAACGATGCTCAATGATACACACTTGCATCACATTTAAATAGTTGTTATCGCTGTGTTTGGGGTATTGATTGGAATAACAGGGCCTCCATTCTGTGTGTCCTCTTGGTGTTTGTTTGTGTCCAGGAGCCTGTGTGTTGTGTGTTGCCCAGTAGCAGACAGGAGTATCAGGCTGTCTGTAACTCCAGACTCCTGCTGCAAAGCACCCAGACAGAAACCCAGCAGGGTCCGCTAATAGATTCATCTGGAGGTTTAATTATGTTTCAACTCAAAACTCTGAGTGACCTGTCAGAAAAATGTCCTGAGGTGGTTATCTATAGCTCTACTACTCTGTTAGGGTGGGACCTGAATAGTTTTTAGCTCTACGTCTCTTGTTAGGTGCTGCTGAATGAGAACAAATGTGTGACTTTTCCTGTCCTTTGTCATCCTCCTGGCACAAAATAGAACAAGAAGGAGTGTGTCTGTCTTAAGTTACCCACTCTTTGTACAAAATACCAAGAAAACATACCGATCACCTTCCAATATCAGGTTACACCTTCTCTCACGTAATCCAGGTTAGAGGTGCTTTCTCTTATCTGCGTTGTCCTCTTTGTCTCCACTGCCTGTTTATTATCAATGTGGATTAACGCAGGAAGCCAGTAAAATAATTGCTGTGTACTGTTACTTTGTTAGTTCATCCATTGTTACTTGTTTAAGTTTAGTTATTTGACCCGGGTGGAGTGTTAACATGGAAATAAACCATCATGGTATTTCAAAGTCAGAAACAATTAGAAAGCATGAAGGTAAACAGGCTGCACCCTGTCTGTCTTATCGAGTGTACAATCACACAATAGAGCAGATAGCAGATGAATAAGTGGAAAGCACGGGCGCGTGTGTGTGTGTGTGCACTCACGTACGTACATGTGTAAATCTCAGGCCAATTTGTTCACCATGGTAACAGTCTGTGTCTGAAAACTCACTCAGGAGAAAAGGTTGCGTGTGTGTTTTTTTAAAAATGGATTTTCTCCTAGTTTGGGTCTGTATCAGGCAGATTTTTTTCATCATTGATGTGAAGAAAGTAACCAGTAAGGCTTGTATAATCAAACCCTGAAATGCCTCAACATGTATTGCAATCAAGGTTGCATGCATGTTGCATCCCTGGAGGATAACACCTTGTGACTGTGGTGATCCGATGAATTTTCCACCATAGCATTGTGATAGGAGATCTTGAGTGATCTCTTTCAGTTACTGGATGGATTGTGGCGAAACTTTAATACCTAAGGCAATACATGCAATTTTTCTGCAGCACCATCATTATTTCAAACTGTTAATTTGTCCTATGCATTAATTTTTAACCAAACTCTTGCAGGAATTTTTGGTATTTCTTTAATCAGATTTGATGCTAACATGCCAGTCTTACATGAATGCCTTCACAGATTAGATGGTGAACTTGATAAACATTATAATTGCTGTGATAGTGTACTATTGTGCGTAAGTACAGCCACTAGCATGACTTTTACGTTTAGTCTCTACAAGACAACATTATTATTTGCAATCTTGACTAAGTGGATGAAATCCTGGACAATCCTAGAAACCTTCGGGTAAAAATACACCGTGAGCACATTGAGATTTGACCTTTATTTAATCAAACAAAATGCCTCTGTGAAGCCACTCAGTGTCGTGCACTCTCATTCAACCTTGACTGGAAAGAAACGCTTACTTAATAATGGATGATAATGATGGAAAATATCCTTAACTAACACACAGCCAGCTAGAGTCCTTGTGTCTGTTTCCAGAAGCCCCACACTGCCTGTAACGCATGACGATATGAAAATGTAGTGTTTGCATCAGCCAACTCTCTTTTGCATTCTGTGAAGCCTGTGAAACGGCTCTGTTGTGTACGTTCCTTGTGTGCCGTTTTTAAACTAAAACTTTGGTGGAAGCTAAAGTAATTACATAGCTGATTTGCAAAGGCATGTGTCATATCGTCCCCCAGACAGTGTGAGATCACACTTTTACTCTTCAGCTGACAGCGGTAAGAGTGAATCATGACACTGTTTAAAAATAGACAAAACCTAATGTATCCCCACTGAGTCCTTTTTATCAGCTTGGACGAGTGAATGCGGTTTCAGAAAAGTTGCAGAAATGAAGCGACTAATTTTCCAATTAACCAAGGATAAGTGATAAAATCAGTCTGACAACAAGTTCTGTTGTTTCAGGTGTTTGAATTTAAGTCATATTAATGTACAGTCAGGGGTGCAGCTCTACACTGTGACCACTGTGTCTGCATTCAATGTCTTATCTGAATAACAGTGGGCCGTACGGGGTCAGTGTCATGGGTGTGTGTGTGTACAGCGTGGGTGTGTGCACTTCTTAGGAATATAATATGAGTCATGAACATGGAAAGGAGATAGCAGAGGGGCAAGTGAAGCTTTGTTTATTTGTCAATCACGCTAGTTGTAATGTGAAATCCAACACGTAGCTGTGTTTGCTATACAGGGTTACATAAGCTGGTATTTAAACTAGCTGACTAAAACTAATGCACTCCGTCCCATTTCTGTCTGTGAGGGTAGAGTAAACACTGGAAACACCTTTCTGTATTACACTTTGGAATTTTGCAGTGAATTAAGATCTTAAAAATGGTTTGAACAAATCTGAACATCAATGTGGTGATAAGATTAGTTGCAGCATTAGTTTTAGCTAAGCGTACCTAATGAAATGGTGATGTGTGATGTACATAAACATTTTTAGGCAAGTTAATGTGCTTAGTTTTTTATTATTTAAAAACAGATATCAAATCACTCAAGTTGGTGTGCTTTATCATATGCTGTTTGAGGGTCTTACTGTGGATGGATGTGTGATATGTGGACACCTACTCAATGAAAAATGGTCAGAATTTTAAGACTGTGATTGCACTCACTGTTCATAAATCTGATTTGGGGAATTTTGCATTCATCCTTTCTTCTTTCTTTTTTTCTCTCCGTGTCTACATCAGTGTTGTGTGCTGACAGAGTGGGCCAGATGACGAAGACCTACAGTGATATCGACGCTGTCACTCGACTGCTGGAAGAGGTACGATCATGTAGAGGAAAATCAGATAATACTGAATATAGGTTATAAATACAGGGTGAATCAGTAGAGCTAAAATATTAAAAAGTGTGCCCTATAACAGAGTTGTAATGCCATAAATCATAACAAAGAACAAAAGTAAAAGTTGAATTGTGAAGCACGGATGATGTTGGGAAAAAAAAGGTGGCTTGATATGCTATAGATATTTAACTCGTTAGACATTTTTTCACTCTACAATGTACGACAACTCTCTGTATGTACTCTCTGGATGTATTTTCCAACAACTTGTTGACAACTTGCTGCTCTGTATACCATTTTTGATCCACGCTGCATTTATTTTCTCTCGTCTGTTCTGTGTGAACACGGCCTGCAGTTCAGCCGAGCAGTCACTGAATTTTGCTCCTACGACTGCACCAAATCCTATAAAAAAACAACAAGAAAAAACTTAACTGCAGTTTATTTTGTCAAATTTTTAAATGTGACGTGTAGACTAAAGTGATTTTGTATCCTGATTTTAAGCATATACTTGGCTAATTTTCCTTGCAGAACTGCACATTAAACGTGATTAATTCAAGGACTGTGTTAAAGTTGAAAATCTGCCATTCGTTTTTCTGTAGTAATGAATAGGATAATTTGCCTAATTTAAAACAACAACAACAACAAACATAACATGCCTTTTAAACCAACAGGCAGTAAAGTAGAATAGCCACAGAGGAATGCAGCATATTCAGACACACTAAAGCAATTTGGTCAAATTTCATTATGTCATAGTCTAAACAAAGGTGACTTTATGAGCATTATCATAAAGCTTGTCTCCTTCAGCTGATATTCAAACCTAACTGATCCAACAGAATGCAAAGCAGCAGAATGATGTCACCGAACCATTAAATCCAACAGTCAGACAGTCGTGCTGCTACAGTCTAAACCTGTACACAGAGACGTCAGACCGTCACCAGCCTGATGACTCCAGTAGTGTGGGCTGTGTACTTCCTCCGGTTGGCAGCACAGTAATGTTTATAGTTAGGATCTGTGTGGCTGCTTGCTTTCATTTTTAGTCTCTTTGTTTTCCTTCCGTCCTTCCTTCCATCCTGGAATTCATTTGGATGTTCCTTTGACACGTACCACCCACTTAAACTTTGCTCCAGACGCTGCGAAAAATCCGATTTAGAGCTGTTTTTCAGTGCATATTGTTATTAAATGCACTCAGACCTACTGAAAAACAGGAGTGCCTGGTTTGCAGAGGTTCATAATAAGCCTTTAATTACAGTACAGTACATGCTTGCACAAGAACTTTGCACTGTGGTGGACAATGAGAGGTGGAGGTACTAAGGTTTCTTTTTTGAGATAGCACAACTGCTCTTATTTGGTGATAAGTAGAAATGGTGTTTCTATCATCCTCTGTTTTGCCATTTTCCTTGTTATTAAGATATTTGAATCCTCCCTGAAATGTTAAGCTTGTTTAGGTTATCATTCTATCCTTCACGTACTTTATTCCTCGAGAACATCTCACATGCCTAGCTATTAAAAGTGTATCCGGACCAGCAGTTTGATAACTTAGTTTATCATAAAGACCTGAAACTGAGGAACAATGTTAGTTTGGGTCTGTCTAAAGGTGAGAGTTGTACAGTTTTATCTTACATGTTTTTAAACTGCAAGACAATTTTTCTTTTCTTTGTGCAGAAAGAGCGAGACTTGGAGTTAGCTGCTCGCATCGGACAGTCGCTGCTGAAGAAAAACAAGGCGCTCAGTGAGAGGAATGAAGTACTGGAGGAGCAAGTGGAGCACATACGAGAGGAGGTACACAGCATTAGTACTCATGCTTGTGTGTTTCTGAGTGCAAATGTGATACTGTTTGGGAAATGTCTATAGATATAAGTATGTGTGTCATATTTACAATACCTTACTGGTGGAATAGAGGAAAAAAACAAAGAAGCAGAATCACCGCCATGTTTTCTCTGTGGGTTTGGAGTTGTTGTCTGTCCTCTGCTTTAATGTTTCTTGTGTTTTTCCACATGCAGGTATCTCAGCTGCGCCATGACCTGTCCATGAAAGATGAGTTGTTACAGTTTTACACCAGTGCTGCAGAGGAAAGTGAGGGAGAGTCCACCACCTCCACACCGTAAGTCTCCTTTCATTCACCCTCTGGACTCACCTTCCTTCATTTCTCTTTGCTCAGCTTTAAATGTGTGGAAATGCTGCAGTTTCTCTGTACGGCAATAAAAACTATCTGTAAACTGTGATAAGGTGAAATAAACCAACACTCATTAAGCTCATCTCTCCCTTGTGTGTGTGTTTTTGTGTTTACAGTGTGCGTCCCAGTGAACCCAATGTGTCAACTCCTACTTTTTTCCCCCTGGACTCCTTGCAGAAGAAACTCAAAGATCTGGAAGAGGAAAACAAATCATTGCGATCTGAGGTACATGCACGCATGCGCACGAGCATCCTGCTAATAGAAATGGCTGACAGTCCAATATGGTGCATGCAATATTTTTAAAAGTATGTTGTTGTATCATCAAAATGGCATGTGAGGTAAGTCCAGGTGTAAACCAAGAATCATTATTATCATGTTCTTATTATATTTGCGTAGAAAACTAAAGATGTTGTTTTTTTCCACAGATAGTAAATACTCCAAAAATACATCTCGTCCCAGAGTCTGTTTGCTTTAGTCTCTTGGCCCCAATACAGTTAATGTTTTCATTAGGAAACATGATCTTCTCCTTAGTTTGAATGAGAAGTGATTTATTATAATAACGTTGACAATACTGACATACTTTTTTCGTTCCAGGCGAATCATTTGGAGACAGAAACTATCTCCTATGAGGAGAAAGAACAGCAGCTTGTCAATGATTGTGTCAAAGAGCTACGTGAGTATTTGTCACGTTCTTTTTGATTTTATTTCAGTCACTTGTAGGGCTGCCACTAAAGGATGCTTTTTCAGTGATTATTTTGCAGACTATTTTAATTTTAATCTAAACTATCAGTTTTCTTCCAAAAATCTACCTTACCATTTTATTTAAGTTCATTTTATTATCTCTGTGAGCGTATTTAGCAGCTGCAAGGAAACATGATATCAAAAGCTCTTCATAACAATGAATACACAACATTAATGGTGGTTTTTAATATTCTGATGGTGCATCTTGCAGCTTCTAGAGCATTGTGTTTTCTCTTCAGAAGCCGATGCATTGTGCAGTTTTGTACATTTCAAAGCTTTAGGTTTTTGGAAACTTTTGCACTGAATGAAGTCAGCTACAGCCACCTTTCTAAAAACTGGAGCCAACCTGTGATTGGACCTAAAAACAGCTAATGTTTAAGTGTAGCAGCTATGAAGTGATACAACAGAGAAACATTGAGTGAAAGCAATTGGCTTAAAATTTTGACGTTGAGCATTTTTAGTGCCAACGTCAATTATGCGGACTCATCATAGCAGCTACAATGTCAGCCACTTCTTCACTCTCTAAAAGCCATGTGGCTGTAATCAGGCTGCTTTTTGGCAGCTCCTGCCTAGCCTTAACACCTGCTCTCATTCGCAGGTGATGCCAACCTGCAGATCTCCTCTCTGGCCGAAGAGCTGGCCAGGAAGACTGAAGACGCCTCCAGACAGCAGGAGGAAATCACACACCTCCTCTCTCAGATAGTAGACCTGCAGAAGAAGGCCAAGCTTGTATGAAACCTCTGATATCTCTCGCAGATCTCGTTAAATGCTTGAAGCCTTTGGATGCAGTGTTTTTCACACCTGCTGACCTATTTTTGTTCGTGCTGTTTACAGTATGCTGTGGAGAACGAGGAGCTGACTCAGCACTTGGGTGCAGCCAAAGACGCCCAGCGACAACTCACTGCTGAGGTAAGGAAATCCACTACCTGCTAACCTTGGCCTCGTCGCTGCATGTTTTCCGCAGCGGAAAGATTTCACCAACAAATATTAATAGTCCAGGACAGACTGTGAGGGCCTGTCGAAGAACAACACTTTTTTAGCAGTGTGACCTTGCTGCCTTGTTATAGGAGATTTTTTATAGGACTTGTAGTCATACATCAAATATTATTATAACTTCACAGTCTTTGCATTTTGTAGCTCTGCATTTGACATCTGTGTTGTACTCATTTACTGTGTGTAGGATTCACCTGGTAGAAACAAATAACATCTGTGTCACAGTTAAACACTGTATTGCCAAGTGCTTAACTTATTCCCGTCTTTTCATACATGTATCTTTCTTTTCTATTCCTTGTAGTTGAGAGAGTTGCAGGACAAGTATGCTGAGTGTATGGAGATGCTCCACGAAGCTCAGGAGGAACTGAAGAACCTGAGAAATAAAACTCTGCCACTCAGCACACCGAGGCGTTTCCATTCTCTGGGTCTGTTCCCGATGGTAAGTGAAGATGTTCTCTCTTACATTCATGCAGCTTCATTATGCACAGAATGCTTGTATCACAGCATCTTTAGGGCCCTCATATAGCAACGGTAACAGTTTTGATATTTTTCTCCTTCAGGACTCTTTGGCAGCAGAAATAGAGGGCACCATGCGGAAGGAACTTCAGATGGATGATCCAGACGTAGAAGAGCAGAGGTACAGTCTTGATGGCTAAAATAGTCTATTTAATGATCTGCTGTGTCATCATCCACTGGCTGCATATTTACGTGGTCTCGTTTCTCCAGATTGCACCCAAAGCGAGTGTTCCAGACAGTGAAAAACCTCAACCTGATGCGTCAGCAGCGTTCTTCTCTGGCCCCCTCCCCTCTCAATATCCCGGGCTCCAATCAGACTTCGTGCTTCACCTCAGGACGCTCCAGCAGGGTGGGCACGCCTCGCTCAAACTCCATTTATGGCAGCGAGACGGGAAGCGGGATCATCCTGGACAACAGGACCGGCAGTATCCTGGAGACTCCCGACGATGGGTATGAACACATGAACTCTGCCGGTACAGACAGGAGATCTTAATAAGTATTTCGAAACACTGACATACATTTGCTTATTTCAGTTTCTCAAATGTGACAGTTTGCTGTGTTTCTTTGCCTCAAAGTAAATTTCTTTTGCACTATGATGTGTTCAATTTGGGTTTTTTTTTTTTTTTTTATCAGAATCTATAAATTCAATTTTTAACATTTCTTTAAAACATTTCATACACTAAACAATTGGGGAAAACATTCTTTGGATCATCAGTAACACCCTAATCTGATTTCAGTTTAATCCTTTTTTACCATTTATTTCCTTTACTCCTAATGGGATGCTCAGTTTTTTTTTAATGTCAATGCTAATGTTTGGGTTTCTTAGTATGTTTCTATAGTTTATTCCAGTTAACTTCTTTCTTTTTTCAAAACTCTCACACGAAATGGACCAAATTAATTGTACAAAATGACATCAGAGAGAGATTTCTTTTTAAAGTCTTGATTGAAAACTAATAATGCCAACCATGTCTCCCTCTTCAGGTCAGAGGATTCTAACAAGCGCCCCCCTGGTACCCCTGGGACCCCAGGCAGCAGGGACCTTGAGGCAGCCCTGCGGCGTCTGTCCCTCCGACGTGACAACTACCTCTCAGAAAAACGCTTCTTCGAGGAAGAGAGGGAGAGAAAGCTGGCTTACCTGGCCAAAGAGGAGGAGAAAGGAGGCAGCGAGGGCAGTGGAGGCCCAGGGACCCCAACAGAGAGCTTGCTGTCGCTGTGCTCGCATCCCTCCATCGGGAGCATCTGGTCAGGATACTCATTCACAGCGAGGTCCTACCTGCCGGAGAAGCTGCAGATTGTAAAGCCGCTAGAAGGTGATTATTCCTCTCTGAGCCACAAATCCACTAATTCTCCACACGATGAGAAAGAGAATCAAAATCCTAACGTTCAAAAAGTCCTACACAATGATAATGAGATTTTAAAGAAAAAACACAATCAGAACCAGAACCTGGCACAGATTTCAAACTGTAGTCTACGAAATACTCCCAAAAATTATACCCACATTTGCCAGAACCACAATCAGTATCTGATTTTTCACAGCCACTGTCAGTCCAAAATCTTACTCAGTGCCTCGCTGGATCCTAACAAGCTGAGGAGAAGCTCGTCGTTGTTGGAGCTGAGCAGCCTGTCAAGCTCTCAGACTCTCCTCAGAGCTCCGCTGGCTTTAACCACAGGCCTGCTGGAGGTGTTGGACCAGCAGGAGGGCACTTTAAATCTTCAGCACTCCTTTTATTTCAGGCATACACAGCCACGCTGCTGGTTTGAAATATAGGATATTAGACTGGTTGGAGCATATAGTTAGTCAAAAATGAATTCTTGAATATACCTTTTTACAGCCGATTTAAGCTTTTCTATTACATTTTAAAATGCAAGTATTATATTCAGGTATGAGAACATATACAAAACCACAAAGGGATATAGAGCTGTACTGTATACAAGGCTTTACATTTATTTCTTACACGTATTTACAAAATGTGGCACTTTCTGTATCTTTCCACACATGTAGAAAAAGTAAAGAGTTCATTTGCAAAAACAGAAACTTTGCAGATTTTCAGAAAACCTTTTTTTTTGTGCTTTGCTTGAGACAATATCAATCAAACTGAAGTTGAGTGGATTTGACTCAGTAGAAATGACAAGACAAAAATAGAGATAACTTAAGTTTCATTGATATTGTCTCAGATAGACGATGGAAAAGTGGGCTTTCTGAAGGTTTGTGAAAAAAATGAACTCTTCAAGTATCTTATGCCTTGTTTATTTTAGTGATTTCTCTAATGTATTGGTTGTGGAGTTTGAAACAGTGGTTCTACAGTACTAATACAAATGTTTTTAGTTTTCTGCCCGTATCCTATCATTGTCTAATTGAAGCAACAACAGCCTTTCACTTTATTTTGTTGTAATGCATTCATGCATTATGTAACTTTTAGGGCATTCTCAAAATCCTCCACTAATCTGTATTTCTTGTTTTGTGGCTCCCTCTAGTGTTTAAACTCAGATACAAGCACTTGCAAAGGAGAAAGCTAATATCTAAACCCCATACTGTATGAAAAGGGAAGAAAATGAAGGAGAGAAAAAAAGGAATATATGAAATGTAATGATATATTCTTTGCTCTCGATCTGAAAAAGCAATGAAATGTTACATTTCAAGTCTAATGATGGTTGGTTAAGATATGAGAAATAATGGAATCACGCTAATTTTTTAATGTTATTTCTTATTTCTTGGTCGGCTCAGATTATTTGCATGCCATCTGTCATCATGATTTTGTTATTCATACCTTTCTGGCTGCTGTCACATCTGTACTCCTTAGAAGTCAACACTCCACAATACGGTGGGTTTTGACAGAATGTTTTCTTTATGACCCTTTAGTAAAGACACTAATGCTGCATTAGTGTCAAACCACTGTATGTACTGTCCACCCCTTTCTTTTGTCTGTTGTCGGCCTTTCTTTTCTTCATTTTGTCTTTGCACTTTACTTCCCTTAACGTTTTCTGTTTTCTTTGTTGACAATTTCTTGAATAAAATCAAACTAATTTTCTCACCTTCCTTTTCTCTTATTCCTTTATTTGTTCTTTTTCCTACTGACATCCCTCAACATGTATTCTGAGAAAACAACCATTCATTGGACTTGAAATGTGACTAATTCACTGTGCAAGGACACTTCAGTCGATAGAGAGACACTGTGTACTTTGCTGTGACATTCTCTGTCACCGCTGTGTGTGTGTGCGTGTGTGTGCGTGTGTGTGCGTGACGGTTTATATACTGCATGAAGGAGTATTGTAGCGATGTAATAATCTAAGAATATGCCTTTGCCTGTCTGTGTGAGTACATACATGTGTGACATGGTGTCATTGCAGCTGCGTGCACGTCTCTATTATCAGCAGGCCTGCGTGTATGTTTTCATATATTATCTCTGACAGGAAGCCACTTTTAACACCTTAAAACATGGAAATGACATTTCCTGAACAGAACAAACGTGTGTATAGCCACATGCATTGCGGTCCTTTTTCTTCACTGCAGCGTGTTACTGTAGTAAAGCAGCTTCTGGAGGTTAGCAGACAATGGTGGGAAGCTGATCTGAATCAGGTTGGGTGACGGTATTCAGCTGAATGAAGCAGCCCTCTTCCTCTGGGTATTAAGAGGAAAGTGTGCTTGCAGTCTTCCTGAACATGCAATTGTAGAAAGCTACACAAGTTACACTTTGTAAATACAGTGTCAAGGCTGTCTATTTAGTGTTCTGAGCATTAGAAACTTAGAAACCTTCAACAATACCAAAGTGCCCATAAAGTCAGGCTTCAAAAGACATTTTGAGGGCATGCGGTTCTGTTTATTGGCAAGTTTTTAACCTTGTAAAAGCATTTTACAGAGAAAATGTGCACATTGCTGCAGGTTTTGCAGGACGTCTAGTGTATGCATATTTCTGAGAGGGATACTATCAGGGAAGAAAGTAGCTAAAATTGCTGCTGTCTTTACCTGCTGTACAAAGAGAGCAGCTTAACATGAATTTGTATGACATGAGACTGTTGTGTTTTTTTCCACAGGCTCGGCTACACTCCATGCATGGCAGCAGCTGGCTCAACCTCACATGGGCGCTCTGCTGGACTCTCGGCCTGGCGTGGTCACAAAGGGCTTCCGTACTTTGGCGCACGAGCAGGACCAGGAAGACAGCTGGCAGCTGGACCAACCAGAGGAGGATGAAATCTCATGTGACTCATTTACAGGCTTGTTGGAAGAGTGCTCTGGTCCCATGGATCTGCCTTGCTCTACCTCGACTCCTTTGGTCTGCTTCAACAAAAATGGTGACGCTGACGACAGTAGCCAGTTCGAAACACCGAATGGAGCAATTTGCGGGGCTAGAGAAGCAGTTCGAGTAAAAGACGGACATGTTCCAAGCATGCCCCTTCCACTCTCCGCCCCTTCTTCGCCGCTCCCCTCTTCTTCCGAGATCAACGGGCAAGTGGACCTCAAGGAGCTCCAAGCCTTACAGCCCAGCACTGTGGACCGCATGCCTGGTGAGGGAGCCTCTTAGCTGAGGCCACAGCACTGCATCCAACCATAAAAGCTTCATTTTTAACCCTGGAAACATGGGAGTAAAGGGGAGGAGGGTGAAGAGGAGGGGTGGGAGGTTGAGGGATTGGGGAAGGCATTCAATGGACGTATCACAATCCCAGTGTGACATCCCTTCCTGCATGATCACGCTCATGTGTACACACCTGCACACCCACCCGTCCCAGGAGCAGTTCCTGTGAATGCAGCCAACGAACCCCATCAAGACAGAGTACATCTTTTTTGTTGTTGTTCTTCTTTAATTTACTTCATTTTACATCTTCATATTCTTCCTTCTCAGTTTCTTTCACTGCCACACTTTGCTTTATTGCAGCCAATCACTTATTTTTGGAATGCTTGTCCTCGTCAATCCTCTGCAGTCAATCATTTTGAAATATGCCATCAGTGATGATTTTAGTTGAAAGAACTTTGAAACTTTTTCATTTCATTAACTTATTTTGGCCCTAAGCCATACTATTAGTACGATCCATTTCATTTGTGAAACACCAGTGCAGCGTACCAACACATGGATACAGAAATATCGTGGCTGAGGTCCAGTTAATGCTCACGTACGTGCATTCATGTGTCTGTATCCGGTGTTATTAGTGCAGCTGTTCAGTCACATGAGCGCTGACTTAGTAGCTTTGGTGTAGGGTCACCTTTATGCACACTGTGGTGCAAATATTACTGCACTGTGTTCCTGCAAAGCGAGGCATGACGCCCTAACAAGAAATAATCACAGCTGTTTTCAGCCAATGCACATTTACAGTCAGCCAGCTGTGGTGTCGGTCAGGATTCATTTTCACAACTTGACTGCCTTCTTACAGAGAGCGTGCATCATTTTAATATTTATTTACAATTCACCAGTGTATTCAGTTGGTATAATACATGCCATGTGCAAATACAAATCATGCCAGATGTATTAGCCTGATAAATGGAATGACTGAGAGCATAATTTTGCAAAAATTATCATTAATTGAAATATTTCTTTCATTCCTGAAATCAATTTGATGGAATTACCTTAAAGCTGTATTTAGCAGGTCATTTTGTGTAATGTAATCGGCTGAATCTTTGTAAGCAACTGATTTCTCATGATAAAGGCTTAACATAACTAACTAAAGGGAAGAGGTTTAGGAGCTAATGTAAGCTGGTGCTTTTGCTCTGGGCTTCTACTATGATCGTGGTCTGTTGTTTCTTCACTTGTTGTATTTTTTGTGTTTGGTGCAGTTTATATCACTACTAACAGCCTTTTCTTCTCATCTTTTTTCCCCTTCTCTCCTTTTAGTTCATTTCCCAGGGAAGTGTATGTCGCATACTAGCTCCACATACACCTTCACCACCTGCAGGATTCTCCACCCCTCTGATCAGCTGACCTCTGTGTCCCCCAGGTAAAACACATCTTATTTACCCTAAAATCTATTATAGCAAATTGCTTGATTGATTGTGCTTTTAAAATGCCCTTTGTCATATTTCTTCTTGGTTTATATAATGAATATCTTAAAGTGCAGTACATTCTAATGAACACATGATGGCAGCCAGTCAGATTGCAGTGTGTCTTTACCAAATAGCACAGAGGGTAGAGGACAGTGCCTCCTACTAACAGTTTATCAGTAGAGGTTGTGGCTTAAACAAAAAGCTCCACTGTATGCAGTCAATAAAATACCAGCTTTTCAACCGAGGATCAAAGTTTGCTCTCATTTCCCTCCAAAACAGATTCTGAGGCAGAGCTATTCATACTCTCTATGCTGTCTGATTGGCTCGACAGGTCATGTGATGAGGACGAAGAAGTGGAGTTGTATCATATGGTTGTCATGGCCGAAGTAGAGCAGACCCATTGAGTGCACCTACTGGTGTGCACATGGGTGAGGAAATGCATGGTGGTGCATTCCCAAAGACTCTGGGTGTGTGAAAACCGGAATAACAGCAGAAATTTGCTCTAACTCTCTTCTCAGATCAAACTTTGAGGGTCGTGATGTGTGGGCAGCTATTTGAGGCAAATATTGGCAGTGCTAAACCTAAAAATAAAAAGTCACAGTCATTGTGAAAAGCTGCCGGCTCTAGTTAGCCACAGCACTTAACATCTGATTTGCCTCGATTGCTTCCTCTCAATATGACCCTGACTAACAACCAAACACCTCAAAGCTATGATTCGAATCACTGATCAAATCAGATCAAATCTAACTATGTCATTATTGACTTTTGGGGGCAGTATATGGTGGAAATAATTTAAGCAGAAAGGTCCGTTTCTTGACTGGCTCAGGTATCATTACGTGGCTTTAATCAGGTGGTTCAGTCAAGTGGTCAAAGAGTTCAGTCTTAATTAAAGCTGGATTTTTGGCATCAGATGTGAAGGATTCAGCATCAACAACAAGTCGTTCAGCTCCTTCATACCTCTGCCAGTAGAGCCAAAAGAGAAAGTTAACTGTTGGGGAAAACCACATGTCTGACATTCTGGTTTCTGAAGGCTCAAGACTGAATAAATACCTGAAGAAAGATAATAGCAGCTGTCAGAAACTAGACCCAAACTGTCCAGAGAACCAGCTGCAAGGAGATCACTCGCATCTAACACTGCAGGCCAGCTTTGAATCAAAGAGTTTCTTCTTTGCCCACTTGGCCACATAAAGGTCACATGATGATGCCTGAATCAGCACAATTTGGTGTATGAAGACATAGATGATGGACTTTTGCTTAATTTCTTTTCACCATGTAACTACTTCTGTCAGGGTTCCAATAATTAACTTATTGTGTGATGAACTGTCCGATGTGTGTACAATGTGTCTATGAACCTTAGATGAGGCCTAAAACCTGTACGTACTAGTCAGTTGCCAAAACAGGATGAAGATTAATTTAATTCATGCATGGTGTTGTTTTAGGTTGATGGTGTCCATATAATTCTAGATGACTCTTTATTTGCAGCATTGATGTGATAACTCATCAGTTTGTGTCTGTTTCTGCCCTCATGCTGCTTTCCTGCTGATCCTATCCCCTCCTCATCTCTCCTCCTTTCATTCTTCCACCTCCAGCTCAGCCATAGGTTCTTGTCAGAGCAGCGCCTACATCGGCACACCTACCCTGAGCCCCTCCCCGATACCCTTCTCAGCCCCACCCACGCCTTCCTACACCCCCTGCTGCACCCCACGCCGCCTCTCCCTCTCGCTGTCGCTAGCCGAGTCCTCCACCAACCTTCGGGACTCCACTAAGACCACCAGCACCTCTCTAGGCCTGGTGCGCCTCCTGCTGGAGCGTGGGATTTCTGCCTCCGTATATAACCCCTGCAGCTGGGACCGAGTGTTGGATGCTGGTGGAGCTTCGCCGTGTGTGGTTGAAGCGCAGCCGCAGAGGTGCGCAGACAGACCGGAGGAGGGTGAAATCAGACGGTTACGGAAACGTCCAGAGTCCCTCTTCCTTGAACCCTCAACACCCCCCAGCTCACCTCGCTCCAAGTCGGCTTCCTCCACCTCTACACGCCCTGTGTTTCAGTTCAGCCCCTCCAGCGATGACCCGCCGTACTACGATGCCTTCCTTGCCTCAAAACCAGCTCGTACCATTCTGAGGGAAGTGCTGGGGGAGGCAGAGAGAGAGCGGGGGGACCAGGCGGATGATGACAGCCAAACAGAGATGATGAACCTGCGGCTCGTGGACAAACTGAAACGTTTCCGCACCCTTTCCCCGCATTCTGCTTCGGTTTCATCCGGGAGTACTCTGTTAGCCCCCTTTGGCTCCACCGGATTAGGGAACAGTGCACTGGGTGGGGGGCTTCCAGGTTTGAACGCAGGACTGAGAAGGAATCGAAGCTATCCTGCCATGGTGGGGGCCAGCATGGCTATGAAAGACCCAGGAGGGCCCCCCAGTACAGAAATACTCATACCACATACGATGCAAACCCCACATGCACAACACGCAGTGCATACACAAGAAATGGGCAAAGTGCAAACAAATCACACACTGGTGGCAAAGGCCATACAGATACCACAGACTCTACATGCACTGGAAACAGCCACACCACAGACGATAATACAGAGACACACCATACCAAATGGTGACCTGCGGGATTCACCAAGACACGGCCAACACGACGATGACGAAACTGGGACATAATCAGTAATATTCAGTGCATTAGTCCATATTTCAACATGCGATCTCAAGTATTTTACAGTACAACACTCATGTGCGCACATGCATTTATTTGCAAACCCAAATACCATACACATGCAGCTACAGCAGCCCCGAACGAAGTAACTAAACAGTCCGCCCACAGACTCACTCAAACGGCTACTTATCCTTCTCAACAATCATCGATCTGATCAGTGAGAACTGAATAAAATAAGGTGGCGAATAAAGCAGTAGTGGCTGAAACTGTTACACTGTGTTATATTCTGTCAGGCCAGACTAATGCTGATGGAGTATGTTGCCTTCCTTCGTGTGCATTTTAACTGTATATTGTATATGAATTATACTGTGTCATATAGTATAATATTAAAGGCCCAATCTGGTGCAGAGTATTTTTCCCCCCTAAATCTGTAGTTTTGTTTCATGAATGAGTGCACTACTGGGGAAAAAAACCCCGAACATTCTATGTGCTTCAGTAAAAGGCAGCTGAGCTTCTTTTGATGTTTCACATTCATTCAAGAGGCTTCCTTAGTTCTTGCTAACTGGTGGTGAGTTCCAGGTATTTATTCTAATTATCAAGTCACTTGGTTAATGGTCACTTAATGACCTGAGGTGTGAATACTGATAAAACTATCTGGGTAGGGATCTAAAGACTGCATCATAAGTACCTGATATGTGGTTCCTTAGACTGAACAGAGGATGGCCTCACTTACAGGGCAGTTTTTAAATCCCTACCCAGACAGTTTCACCACTATTCACTCATCGAGTCATGTGAGTCTTGGGTAGGTCATGGGCCGACACCTGTATTATTTGGGTTGAAAATAAACACCTGAAACTTCCCCTCCAGTTGGTTAGAACTGGAAAGGCCTCCTGGAAGAGAGGTGAAATGTCTTTAAGAAACAAAAAAAAAAGAAGTCCAATTACCTTCTAGTGAACCATTTAGGATTACGATTACCTTAATGACTGAGAATCCTCACAGACATATTGAATCTTAGATGTGCTGTACTGACCTGAATATATTGTTTTTTTTTCTTTGAGATTTATTTGGAAGAAGGTATACTCCAGTAGGACACAATAACAATTTAGCAAAGTGCTGTGTCATGGGTCGTTTGTGGCTTGATTGTCGCCATTTTCTATCAACACAAAAAAAACTCCTGAAAGCATTTTACCCATTAACAACCTTAAGAAATGACATGACACAAACAGTACAAAATGATTTTTTTGTGTTTTTTTGGCTTTGCTTTTGAAATTTCAATCTGACATCTGTAAAAACTTTGTCAGAGCACCCAAAGAGACAAGCATTTTGTGCGCACAAAATGACTATTTTATGCGTCATGCCATTCCAACGTTGAGTCTGTGATATGAGGTGGCCTTGCCAAAGACAGACAGACTAAAGACAACCAAAGCTAAGCCAAGAAGACTTCATCTGAAAACATACGTCTTATTTTCATGCCTTTATGGTATTTTTAAGACCTTACTTGTTTATGCCTGTACTGCACTGGAGTTAAATGGAAGCTATAGTGTCACATACAGTGGCGATGGCTCTAGAGATTATTGTCTACCAGCAACCCTTTCCCCCGTCTCTAATTCTGCAATTTGTACTCTTAAAAAATAACCCAGATTGGGGCTTTAATGTGTCCTCTTGCTGTGACTGAATGTTCTTATGTGCCTAAAAACAACCATACTGTATCTCATTGTAATATGGGTTTGCATTTGTTTTGTTCGATTACTTTAATATTCTAATTTGCCTTTTATTATATGGTATGCAGTAGAGATAGAATAAATAGGAATAATAGCGCAAAATAATTTATTTGCATCAGAACCTGCCCACACATGCTCATTTGAGATGTTTTCGGTTTGTGTTTTCATCTCCCGTTGAGTTTTGGACACTGCAGGGAACATGTAGTACATTAATGGTAACACGGAGCAGGTCCACCAGTGAAAACACTGACGACAAACCTGCAGAGAACACAAAACTTCTGTTGTTTTGTTTTTCATTTTCATGCAGTCAGTATAGATGGAGTCTGACGAATATAGGCACAAACATGTTAATCCAACAAAATGCAGATGGGAGCTGCAGCATCAGAAAGTACAGTCTGCCGCAAGCACAGCTGAACCCCGAGCTTTCCCTGAAAACCAAAGTTACACCCTGATAAACCCTCAGAGGGACCACAGTGTCACAGAGTTGAAATCTGTTTGTGACTGATTCTTTATCGCAATCATCTCTTTCTTTTTTCTTTTTTTCCATATTACATGTGTGCATCTTGTGTCAGAGTCATAAGCATACATGCTGCCACCAGGTAATATATTCTGTCAAAACAGGCATGTGGTGAAAAAAAAAACATTGAAGCAATATTAAACAATGAGACTTTTCTGAATGTAACTGTTAAAAGAGTGACTTGAAATATCCAAATGTTGGTTTTAAGAGCCTGAGCTTTCATGTGTAACAGTTTGTTGCTGAAGGGAAGTTTTGGTTTCGCTGACCCAGATACAGTATCGACCGTATGGACTCAGACTTTGGTGCATGTTCCTCATAAGTGTACTTTTATTTTATTTTTTTTTTTACCTCTTGCACATGTTCTCTAAATCCTGCTTGGGTACATTTAAAAAGTGAGAATGTGAGCCTGTCCAGGTGACATGTTATCACACATCAGAGTCCTCATGCAGCATTTTAAACTCTTACATCCGTCATGCTGATTACATCCGTTAAACTCTGATGGTTCTGTACTGAGTTGGAGTTTGGATACTGTAACTGGGCCAGTGATTCATTAATGCAATGAATGGATGAAATGGCTGGCTGTGACGCTGGCAGTGAGCTGATGAAATCCTTAATGATTAAGGGACTAAACTAGCAGTGATTGTCGGGTGAGAGATAAATGATCATTAAGTATATTTATGAAGTACTTAGATCATCAGAAGCAAGAATATAACTGAATGACAACTGTACATGTTCAAGTGCAGGACTTTTGCAGATGTATTTATTTTGAACAGACGTGGAATCATTTGTCACTGTGCAGGTTTACGTTCTTCTGCTAGACATTTCTGTGGCATGTAGAATGAAATGGCTTCTTAGAAACATTTCCATTGAAAACAGTGTGCTGCCTGCAAGCCTACAGTGCATTCAAGACAGTATTTAAAAACAAAACCAGGTGAGAAGGCTGAAACATGAAGAAGTTGGTGTGTGTTTGTGTGAGCTTGTTTTTTCTGTGTCACTTCATCTGAATGTAAGTTATTACAAACAGTAATCTGCTGTAGGGCCGTATATTTGTGTACAGTATTTTTGATTTAACTTTGGTTTGTTTTAACTTCATGAGGGGAACTATTAATGCATTGTAAATGTATGCAACACAGTCATGCTAACTTTTTTTTTTTTTTTTTAAATAAACAATAGAGAAAAAAGGTAATTTAGTTGTTTATTTATGGTGAAGAGGAAAAAAAATACTTTTCTGGTCAGGGACTGACGAGTTTTATTCTACAGAAAAGATTGTACTGTCAATAAAATAATAAATACATAAGGACGGTCTTGTTTGCCTTATTCAGAAAAAAGTTGAAAGGGCAACACAGCAAGTGAATAGAATAAAAATATTTCATATTTCAAGTTTTCTGAATTGTATTATATATATACTTAAAATTTCCCTAATTTGCATAGAGGGGGGGGGGGGGGTGTCTCTTTCATTCCATAAATCATAAAATACTGGCAACAGCCACAAGAAAATCCAATTTCATGATGTTTTTGGGAATTAATCGATCTATGCATCAGGCTGTGGCTGATATATCAACAAACCCCTCAGGAAAAATTTTGAATGTAATATAAAGTCTCTATAAATATAAAGTAATATAAAGTCTAGTGTATGTGAGTTATATTGGAGAGAATATTTCTGGGTCAGAGTATGAGGGGGAGGAAAAAACAAATTTTGAGAAACCAGCCTTTAATTATATATTTTATAATGAAAATAGAGAAAGTGTGATGAACCAACACCTAAATGTGTATTTGAGTTGTTTCATAAATAAAAAATCTTTGTTAATTTTCAACCTCTAGTTTGGGGAAATTGACTTTGACATAATAACAATAGAACCATAGCATGACACAATTTCAGTAAATGGCAGTAAAAACACTGAATGTCCACTAAGTAATATCTCAGTAAAGATGTTACTTTGCAGAACTTTAATTTGTTTATAACGTTATTGCATTGGTTTATGCTCATTTGTAACTCAGATGTCACTCTTTCTTGTGATATATTAACATATATTGTATGAATATGTCAGTATTTGTGTAATGATTACAGTGCATAGATAGTAGCATGTCTGGATATTAACACAGCCATGCGATGATGAGTTGATGAGTAATTCATGCCAGAGGAATGTGTGTGAAGATGGATGCAGCTTTATGTCAGGCTGTCTCTACAATTAGATTAGATGGAAATTTAAAATTATTTGTTCTCACCCACGGTGTCGCAAAGACAAGCAACACGAATTGTTGGAAAGGTGAAGTCCTGCAGTTTTACCTCACTGCAATAAATACTTCAAGAGCCAGCTGAGAAGAGAGGATGTTCAGGTTTGTCTAGACTAAATACTGTATTTAAAGTTATTAGATATATTTATGTAATTACAGGCACCAATTAAACAGCAAAGAAAACTAGACAGCTTAGGTTTGTTACTGTAGTTATTCCACTTACAGCTATATTCCACAGGGAGGCAGTGTGCCTCAGAGAACAGAGCTGACAGCTGGCATAAACACAAACCACTGCCAACTCTAAGCCTGCAAACGAAGGCAAACCAGCACTGAAAGCTTAAGTAAAGCACCCAGTGTTGGTCTAGTAAACCCACTCAAATGATGGAAGGCAACACTGCTCTCCATCTGAACGACGGAGAGAGAGGAGGGACAGATGGATACGCAGCACTGGATGGTTGTGAAATGGTTTTTGATGCTTAGAGGAGGACTGGCAGGTGTGTCTGCTCCCACAGGGGAAATGAGAACATTCTGCAGACCTGAGTCAGCCAGGAAGGAAAGGAGACGCAGGAAGAGATGAGATGATGGTAGAGAAGGAAACTTTTGTCCCTGGCAAGTCTCAGTTGGCTTGTTTAGTGGTGATATTTTAGTTCACAGTAACAGTAATCTGTTGGAGTTCGTCATCTGTTGAGGTAATCAGACGGAGTAGGCAGCATTAAACATGTGCAGTTCGAGCATAGTTACAGGCAATTTAATGGACATCACAGAGAAAACATAATAAAAAAAATTTGATTAAAAAAATGAATTCAGTCAAGATAAAAAACAAAACAAAAACAAAAACGAACAAAAAACAAACTCTCTGTTCCTCAAGCTTCAGTCTAAAACTCCACTTCTCCTTCAGTTTCTGTGCATGTTTCAAAGCCAAGATTACTAGAGAGACTCTTGGACACGGAGTAATTTACAAAAGCTTGAAAACAAGGTCCACTTCAGCAATGGGATGTGTGATAATATCTTGAAGAGGTGAAACATGACGGGCTGCATCCATCAGCAATAATCCTTCACATTGTGACCAAAAGGAGGGTGCTTCGGAGTCGACCTAAACTTCCAGAAGCCTTCAACACAGCCAGAGACTAAATAGGTACAAGATTTTGCATTACTCTGACTGAAGAAAGTCATAAAAAAATTCTTTCTCATTATTTTTGAGAGAAAATTGAGCAAAATTTAGCAAATAGAAATAATTTTGGTAATCTTAACCGACCTAAAAAGGAAAAAATATTCTGATTTAATGTCAGCTAGTGAGAAAAAAAAAGATTTTGTCTCTTCATACAGTGTTGGAAACTTCTGGTTTGAACTATAGCTGGTAGTAAGTGACTATATACTGACTGTATCATTAGCAGCAAGTGATATTTACTTTTATCTATTCTTCTAACCAAATAATAACAGTCTCATAGCCACTTCTGTATGATGGGTTTAGAGCTAATTGTGGGATTGCTGTGCAAGTGCTGATATGTTGTTGTCTGCCCAAATTCTGCACTCCTCCTTGTTTTTCTGTATTTTCCTACACCATTTGTCTTAGAAATAGCACTTAAATGCCAAATGAAGTGGTAATGTGTGGTAACTACTGTAACTTTTCTGACAATTGTTTTACTTAAATCTAAATTTAAGTGAAAAGAAAGAATGTCAGGAGCTGAAGTGGACCTAATCTAAAATAAAGCTACTCATTATAATTTTAACATTGAGACAACAATATGTTTCTCCAAATAAAAGTAGTGAATTAGGATAAAAGAATGATCTCCCCATAATATACTTTAAATAATAAGCAAATTAAATCCAGCGGTGCACAGACGGTGACCAGGGCAGAGCTGCTGAAGTTAAAGCTTAAGCTAAAAGATATCCGCCCCCATGTGCACCCCTACACTGAGCCCGTCAGCCCTCTGAGCAGGTCACCAGGAGTGTGTTGTTTAGGTGGAGGTATGTCTGCAGGGCTACAGAGGTGAGCAGAGGCCAGGGAAGACTAGCAGGATACCAGGACTACCAGAGATATGAGGAGAGTGATGGAAGCACAAGGGCTTCATTATTGAGGGATATGATAAACTGTTACAAGCCAGAGATGGAGCACACTTAAGGTTTGGTGATGCAACCGTTTTCATTTTAGTTTGCATTTACTGCACTTGCGTGAATCTATTGATGAAGTGTCTATCTTTGTCATTTATGGCCCAGGCCTGGTACCCAACCCAACAGCTTTACACTTATTGTGCTTGAAGCCTATGAATTACAGGAGTACCGTTCAACTGCTCTGTAGAATGCACCACAAGCTGAGACCAGGATTTTCACAGGAAAACAAAAAGAACCCTGTTTTAAGCTGTGCTATTTTCCCATTTTTGACACCAGAAACACAAAACTGCACAAATGTGTTCAGCAAAGGCTTGTTTTTCTCACCTTCATAAAACTTTAGTGATAGCAGTTGGGTTCTTTTGACTGATGAAGAGGTGAAGAGGTGCACCGAGCCAAATCTCAGTGAATTCTCAGTTGTACTGAGGGAGAATGCTGCAGGTGCCTTCACCATGGCAACCTTAATGATGTGGCCACACACAGCTGAAGGACATCCAGTAATTAACAGCCTCTCCGTCTCAGTGCTTTTTACACGTACTTAACAGGTATTTCTGTCTTTCACAATACATACGACAAACACGGTTTTACAGACATTTAAACTGTTTTCACTGGAAATATGTTCTAGTCCTTTTTCTTTTTATCAGGAGCAATCCCTTAGTCATTTGATGGATTCTAGCTGACTTCACACAGACACACACGAAGCCACAGTCATTTTTATATGACTTTACAGAAGGAATGGCAGCACACAGTAGAAAGATAGATAGATAGATAGATAGATAGATAGATAGATAGATAGATAGATAGATAGATAGATAGATAGATAGATAGATAGATAGATAGATAGATAGATAGAACGTACTAATAAAACCTTATTGGCTGTATTCGGAATTACAAGAACAGAAAAAGTTCATGCCAGTTTACCTAAATTAAAAGTGAAATAGCAAATAAACAGCAAGTAAATATTCCTCATAAATGATCTACATGATGGAAACACTTGTTAACTGTAGTTAAAGTTAGTCCAACTGCTGAAAACAGCTGCTCAACTGGAACAGATGTCGACAAATAGTCCTGAAGCTTTTTATATATTTTATTTTATTATATTTTATTTTATTTGTAGAACTATATATATACTTACTTGTTTTATGTTAGCCTTATGGGCAGCAGGCAAACACACCTGTGATTCCATACCATTAAACAGGAAGAAGTCCCGCCTGGTGGTGCAAACAGGTACTACAGCACACCTACAATACACTTTCTGACATGTCCCTCGTCTTCTGCCCTAATGATTGATGAATTTTTAATTGATAAAATATCAATTAATCAACAATTAATTGATTAACAATTAATCATTACCATAGTTACCTTTCCAGGTGAACACAGTTAGAAGGGCCTAACAGAGTTTTTTTTTCGATTGATTGCATCTACTTCAACAGCTCCTTTGTAAAAAGATAAGATGTACAATTCTTCCAGGAATTTCGTATAATTAGAATTTTTTTGCATGCTATCATACTAAATAAAGATAGAAGATTAAATGTCAGTGTATTAGCATTGTCATTGAAAGCATGTTAGCACACTAAAATTAAGCTTTAGATGTGGCCCAATATTGCGCTGCTGGTTGCTTCACATTCACATTTCTGCAAATGAATGAAGCATCATATCAACATTTTTGTGTAAAGTGTAATAAAATTGAGTTTGTTTGTGATTTGATGTTCTCTATAGACGAGCACCTCACACCTGCTTTTGTCATGACCCCATGTCAGTGAAGCTGTGTGGAAACCCTGTGCGTTTACCCAATTCACGCACTGCTGGAGAATTCATTCCACACTGAGTTATGCTTTGGCTCTTAGTCTGATGGTGGAGCTGAACCGTGAGGCAAGTTTGGCCTTTTGATATTCACTTGATCGATTCCCTTTGTCACTCTCTTTCTCTGTAACTGTCACCCACCCACCAATG